CCCGGCTCCCGCCCCTGCCCCAGGCCCATCCTAACTCCAGCACCGCCCCCCCACCCCCACTACCTAACCTATCAGTATTCGCTAACGCAATGTGATCGCTCTACTTTACGTTCGAAAGAAGACGTGAATCATATAGAGCTTGTTTGATGTTTTAGTGTTAAATTAATTAATCACAAATGTTATTTAGACTGAGATTGTAATAAAGCTTGCATTTTCTAATATCTTTTCTTTCTTTGTGTCGCTCCTGGGGCCACAGTCGTTGACGAACACGACACAATGTCTGTTTACTAACAAATTGTTTGATTTATTGACATGTTTCTTAATCTCTATAATTGAAGAATTTTAACTATGTTTTAGTATTATTAAGAAATATTTAAAATAAGACAATGAAGTACATAGCTCTTTTCGTAAAAAACAATCGTGTTGATATAACAAACAATTTTCTTAGAAATATTGATTTAAAGTTCATTTTTCAAGATTCATAGAGGATCTATTAATTATTATTTATAAACAATAAAATCTTTAAATAAAAGAGTTTTACTTTTTAAAAAAGTAAACATTAGAGTTTGGTAACAGTTTATTACATTACAAATACATTATTTTATGCTATTATGCAAGTTTCAATTACTAGTACTTAAAGAAACTTATCATAATTGTTATTACAATTAACTATTTAAAAAGTCTAGACAAACATATTCTATAAACAAATAATAACACAAATCATTCAGTTTATTTAATAGAAATAGATTTTTACAAAAAGAAAACACTAGTTCTGCCACTGTATGTTTTACAAAATAGAAAAAATCGTAATTGACCAAATTGCCTGTTTCCATTGTCGGCGATCGCAGCCTCTGACGTCGGCCTACTACCTATCGCCACTAGTGTCGTATTACAATACGCCGTACGTCACGTACATACCAAAGCTGTCGCAGGTGAGTTGTCGAATTGGTGGCCATCATGCTGTCAGCTGTCACGTGTCATGGACACAGCATGCACAAATCACTATAGCACAGAGCGTTCAGTATGCATCAGCTATGCTACAGGCATGCACAGTTCACCGTAGCACAGAGCATTTAGTGTGCATCAGCTATGTCATACAGTTGCACAGATCACCGTAGCACAAAGCATTTAGTGTGCATCAGCTATGTCATAGAGTTGCACAGATCACCGTAGCACAGAGCATTTAGTATGCATCAGCTATACCATAGGCTTGCACAGATTACCGTAGCACAAAGCGTTCAGTTTATATCAGCTAAGCTACAAGCATGCACAGATCACCGTAGCACAGTGCATTCAGTGTGCATCAGTATCAACTATGCCACAAGGATGCAAAGATTACCATATACGAAAAAGAGATCAGCCATGTAAATACAGAACATTCTATTAAATGCATAAAAGGTTGTATATAGACTTTTTCGCACGACTAGTGTATCGCATTGTATTTTTGCCTTATTAAATTTAGAGTATAAATGCTTTTAGAGAATTAATATTAAACATCACACAATTAAATGTAACGCAAAATATGTAGATAGTTTGTAGAAACAACTTACAAGTGTAGGTAAAATATTTAGCAAAACAGATCATAAATAACAAAAAATTATAGCCAAGTTATATTCTCAAAGAATAATTTTAAGTCAGCTTAAAGCGAATAAAGGATTGTTTTGTTTCTCGAATTTATCTAAGTAGGTGTCAACACCTACTTAGATAAATTTGAGTAGTGAGTAGGTGTTAACACCTACTTAGATAAATTGTATATATTAATAATGGATTAAGGTACAAATTTTTTTGCATGTAAGTACATACATTGAAGCCTACTGCCAAACGTAACCGATTCCAAAGAATGAGGTTTCTATTATTTATGAGTACAAATTAAAAATGTTTGTCTCTTTCACAATACAGATGTTCGTAAAATATATTCGCTTCGAAATTCAAAATGTTATTTCTTTAAAATGATACGACAGAAATATAATTCAGCCAGCCTCGTTCTAATTCGGAAGGAATGTGTTTTCACAACGTATGCTTAAACACATTTTATAGGTAACATCTCGATGTCACTATGAAAAGTTTGCCGTTGACACATATTAATCAGATTAAACAAACTATCTTACTAATATTACAAAAGTTTAGATGGATGGATGTTTGTTAGAGTTTGCAGCCTAAACTACTAAATTTGGCATAGATGTAGAGGATTGTCTGGAAGAACACATAGGCTACTTGATCTTTTTATCCCGCTCGGATGGAGTCGCGGGCGAAAGCTATAACTGGATAATTAACAAATGAAATAACTCACACATAACACTTCCCGTCAAAATAGTGTGTTTGAAAGCTTTGGGAGATGGAAAAAAGACTTATTGAACACTTAGTAAACCCTTAATCATATAAACAAAGTATTCAGCATTTGTATATTGTAAACAATCTAAAATAGTATTTAATAGTTTAATGCGTAAACTACGCTACACATGCATAGTTTAACGATCCATTTATTTTAAATTAGAGCCTTCTAAATATTATACGATATTAAATGCTTCTCTTGGCAAAGGATGTCGTTGTCGAAGCACTTAATATTCTTGATAAATTCCTAACCATCAGCCAAGAATAGCTACGAACTCATATCTAATTCAGTAAAATGTATATGAAAGTAATTATTAACATAAATTAGTTTAACGTTGATTGTAAGCGTGTAAAGTTTAATAAATTCTTCTTTAGTACCACATTTTTGCAATGCTTAATTTTAACTGAACTTGACTGACTTAACACAAAAATGTTTTCAAAATAACTTTGATAATATTCATGTAAATAACTCGATGGTTACTTTGTAGTGAGATGAGCGTAATTAGTCCATTTTTGAGAAATGGCGCGAACACTTGAGTATCCTTCGCGCCATTGTTACCAGGCTGGACAAAAATATGCATTTTTTCTGTCAACAACATTCCATGACAGTTACATAAAAAATAATAATTATTATGAATAAACATTATGAAATGCACGAAATATACTCTCAAGGGAATAGGTTGTTGGCAGGGATCCAAAGGCCGCGGGAAGTAAACATAACATCTGTTGCGTCTCACACAAACTAAACAATAAAGCGTTTTTTCAACACTACCATTGCTGCGTTTATTACACGTACGTAAACTAAAATTAACTTCAACTGCGCAATGAATAACGTTGTAAGGAAATTACGTGTTTTCGTAAATTAAATCTGTAATTCGATATGTTTTGCACGTTACCATATTTAGAAATCGCAATAGAAGATTACATTTAACAATAAGAAAACTTTTTTACTATTTGAACGAATTACCCAAATATTTTTTAGTTAAAAACAAAAATATAGTTGCCAGTAATAAATATTTATTGCCAGCCAGTATTTTTTAAAACTGCATTCGGTAAAGACTATCCTGGCCAAAAAGATATTAATGACCTGTAAAGTCAGAAATTAAAAATAAAAACACTACTACGTAGAACGCAAGCGAGTTGTTATTCCATCTAATTTTACTCCAACGGGCTAACATTTGAGTCATCACGCTATTGATACGTGTAATAAAGTCGCCATGCATTTGGCTCGCCCTCGCATTCTCCAAGCATCTAGCGTCGATTTGTTTTTTTGTAACAATGAAAAGAGCACTACAGATTTACATAATGCTTCCTGATATCTAATTTTAAGACAGAATATATGTGAACATTACGATTATCAACGTATAATATAGAATCTATAATTATAATGCATTGCTGTCGACCACAGATTCTTTAAAGATGTAGATGGATAATAACACGAAGAGAAAGCTCCATAGTGCGTGCAGTTCAACATATTTTTAACATTCTTAGTAACATGTAAATTGGCAGATATTTTTCTATTCTTTCAGCACCTATGGTACCAAGTGTAGCACACCGGAGATAAAACTATTATTATTATGGTCTAGACATTTGTTTAGTAACAGAAACAGTAAGGGAGATATGTACCAGGTGTTTTAGAATTGGTTTCGCATTCAATGTATTAATTCAAACAGGTGGTCTTAATTCGGCACGCGTCGCGTGCAGGTGTGATCGGCATCTCGCCAACGTATGAAGAATATAATTTTTTTATTTAAAACAAAGAGGAATATACATAAATATGCGAGTATTGTTGCAAACACGACCGTTTTAATAATTTTGCGTTTGTTTTTTTTTTTTTTTTATATTCAGCTGGCAAATCTCTAGAGTTTCTCAATAAAACCGTTTCCATTGCCGAAAAATTGTATAAAAGACACAATCCTTCTCACGGTTTTTCAGAGTACAAATAACGTATTTTGTACATTAGTTTCTGCAATAGAATCTCGCAACTCATTACCACCGAGGTAATCAGTTCATCATCATCGTCTCCTTATCCTACTCCCGTAGGCGCAACAGGTTTTTGTCCTCCACATAACTCTATCATACGTCATCTCAGTCATCACTCCCTTTTTGATCATGTCACCTTTTACACAATCCATCCATCTCTTTCTCATTACCGAGGTAATGAGTTGCGAGATCCTATTACATAGTAAACATGAGTATTGTAGAAATAATCATCTAATGCATAAGTGCCTATCTAATGCTACTCGTATAAGAATTAATCAATAATGCATCTATTCACTGTAATTTGTATCACAGTTACGTTGGATCTTTTCATCACTAAATTGGTCATTCTCAAGCTTGTTTCAAAGTCGATAGTTTAATTCAGTGGATTTCTTTTGTTTTATTGTAATTATTAAACACAGCATGCTTTCAGGCCGAGTTGATCTACCGGCCGCAGGCCCGCGCGCTGACCCGACTCGCCACATACCCAGAGCCCCCTCACCACGTAGTTCGCGTGCGTGTGCGCCCCTCTGTTATCCTTCGGGAACTCGACCGTATCGCCTACCGTCGCCGACCAGCACTCGCCGTCTCCGCTGTTGATGACTTCTACCGCTCAGAATCTACGAAGGTAAGCCTACGTAGTGCATTTTTATAAGGAACCTTTCATCTGCGCCTGAATTGATTGAAGACTACGCTGAGACAAACTCCATTCATGCTGTCTGTATTATAAAGGACTAGCTGTTGCTCGTGACTTCGTGCACGTGTAATTAAATAAGAATGAAAAATATAGCCTATGTTACTCACTGATATTACAGTTTTTTAATGGTAAAAGAGTTCTTGAAATCGGCCCAGTAGTTTTTGTATTATACAAACAAAACTACAAATCTTTCCTCTTTATTATATATACAGTTAGAATACGGTATTGAAACGCCATTAGTAAACATTTTACATTTGCATGTTTATATTTTTTTGCTGTAACGTATGTAATGTTGACTTGCAGCTGTTCGAGGATGAGACCCGTCGCATCCGCGCCGATACCGCGGCGCTACTGCACCGCGCGCGCTCTGTCGTTCCGCGCGCCAAGTCCCTCGCACCTCTTGACACCATCTACTCGTAAGTGTTATCAAAGATCAATCAATATTGTCACTTTGCTAACTCACTGCTGATAATAAGTGTCATTTAAAACTACCCTCCTTAAGTGAAAATCTCCACAACATATAAGTCATTGCTGGGAATTTAGATATAGCTATGTTTACACTTATTATACCACGCAATTTGTAAAATAATTAAAAGATTTCCAACATTGTAACATAAAACACAATATGCCTTGGGATCACCTTGAGTTTACCTTGTAATATATTTATTGTATTGTACTTCATTCGTCAGGGTCAGTGGTAGTTTTCTATAAATAGTTGGGGACTATTTTTGGTTGACGTAACAGTACAAAAATAAACGCGCCATTGATGCAACGACAACGCCTCGTTATTGACATTGACAGCTTATCACGCGGGACATCGTTCGGTAATTAGAACGAGTGCATACATGTTCCTTCTACTATCTTCGAATGTAAAACGACTTGGACTTGCTAGGGATTTCTATCAGCTTGTTTTACTTATTTTTGACCGACTTCCCAAAAGAAGGAGGTATTCAATTCGTCGATATGTTTTTTTTTTATATTTATACTTTAACGCTGTTTAACCCATTCTATTCAAGAATAGTTTCAGAACTAAAGTTATATTTAAATTTTCTATCGGTTATGGCACATCGTGAAATTTGATATGGCATTTTATACTTTTATTTTTAATACGCTGGAAGCCTTATAAGATGTAATAGATACACTTTTAGCAACAAGAAGGCTGTTAAAATACTTGGGTCAATTTTTGTCTATGATACTATGATATTTCAAGCACTGATGTGTGTTTCCGGCGTGGGTGTAGAGTTGCCAGCCAAAAGCGCGCACTAACGCTACGCACACCGTTTTAATTATAGACTGGTTAAATGCCAGCTAATGTTTGTCTACACTACAGGAATGAAAATGTTTCTACGTTTTATTTGAATTAAGAACGTTTTTGATTCACTAATGTAAAATTGATGATGCTTCTAACGAGCATTGTATCCTTGTGTTAATATTTAAAAGTAAATTGTCTCAGAGGAAACGGCATAACAAAAATTTTTGTTTTATCCTAACCTTGGTGGAATTGTACTAACTTTGTAATTTTAGGAGCTGTTTCATAAAAAAAATTAACATCTCCCTGTTTTTAACGGATTTTCAGCATACGATAAGAGATGAAAATTTGCTCGTGACATACTTTCAGATACTCGTACGGCGAACCTATTCCTTATCGCTTCAGCAACGACGCATACGTAGCAAAACTTCTGCTCCCTCTCCGCAGCGTGGCCGACACTATCCACAATATTTCCTTCTACAATGAGCCCGCCAAGAAGTTCACAGGTACCGGTGCAGGTTCGACTAACTTGAATACGATATTTAACAGACTAAATGTTAATGTACGGTTTTCCCACTTCCGTATGTGTCCGGACTAACAGCTAGTACCAGCTTGCCCCTGTAACCACGAGGTGTTCCCCAGGACGTGGTCACCTCGCGTGCGTGCACTACTCGGGCAATAGGGCCTTCTCCAACCGTCGGCCGCTCTACAAGGAGCTCAGCGTCAGAGACGACGTAAACCTGCTCTCGTTTTATGCGAAGAATAGGCTCGCAGCCGCCGGCTTGGAGGGCGAAAAAGCCACAGGTATTTCGGACAGTAGTATCATAGCTAGAGCTCGCTTCGCCCTACGCATAATTCTATTAAAGATAAAATAAAATAACTAGGGCCTTGTAAGTAAACCGAATGTTGAACCATGTAAATAGCAACATATTAGCGATTTTTCTTAGAAGTCACGTTATGAGGGTACAATTTCATTTTAAATTCATTATTACTGGCACCTGTATAACTTTTCTCAACATAATTTGTTATACTGTGATTAATCTGTAGAAAAGCATACATTTTAATTAAACGTAATATTCCTTGATTTGGGCACACGACTGTTATAAATAAAAAAAGTAAAAACCTGTTGAAAACTGGGTGTAAATTAGAAAAACATTGAGAATCCACACGTAGGTCCACCGCCTACATAGTTGAGGATTGATATTAGTGATTTAATTGTCTCCAGATTATAAAAATAGGATATGACTATAAATATTCACATTATTTTTCTTTTTATTTCTGAAGTTATGTTAGTGGTTTACTTATTTGGCCGTATAATAGTCTAAAATTCGCTTCTTCGCTCCGAAGCTATCGGTGCATAAAACGAGCAGTAATTAAAATGAAATGGTATAAACGGTATCTAACACTGCGTGTGGTGTCTCTTACAGCGGGCGGCGCGCAGCAACAGCCGACGGCGGCGCAGTGCGCGTAGCTCGGCCGCGAACTCGACCCGCGTAGCTAGGGAGAGGGCACATCACTAGGGCTCGGTCACATCACTATGATCCATGCTATTTATTGTCTATACCACTTTTAATCCCTTAATGTTGCCATTTTATAAATCGATAAATTACTCAAAGTAATTTAAATATTGCCAATTCTACGAATCTTGAATTGAATTTAACTTATAAGATCATTAGATAATGTAAATAGATATATAAATGCAATAGCGTTAAAATATTACTTCGAACTAAACAATTTATAGACAGAATAAATAACATGGACAAGCAATCAATAATCAAGGGAGGTTCTTAATTAAAGTTTGGTTAGTTGGCCCATTGTCTGCTCTGAGCCCCTAGCTACGCCTAGAGACCGACTTCGCGCTCTCTGATCTCGGTATAACACCCTCCGACTAACACAGATCATATATTTTTTATTATTTTATCAGTTGTTACTTATATTTTTTTACATATTTACGAACGACAACATTTGATAAACGAATGTTGTGAGAACGCGGTCCGTCCGCCACTTTACCGGTAATCGAGACGTCTCGTTTTCCATTTAACAGAACTGATTTTAACAATAAATATTTTGTCACATTTTTAGTTGTTTTAATTTGTTAGCATGTTGTAGTAGTGTAGTTTTGTACCCTTTTCACGCTTCGATATCCATGCTTGTTAATGCTATGCTGTCTCGACTAAACATTTTAAACGATTGATATAATTGTAAATATTGATAATATTATGATTTTGTACGAAAACAATTGTACATTAGAAGAGGACTAGTGTAAAAATAGCTTGTATCACCACCACAATGTAGCGATAAATATGAAAGAATGCAACAAATGTACAGACGTACAGTTTGGAAATCACATCATGCAAGTTGCCTGTGTGTGCACGGTACACGAAATGCGTGCGTATGCCAACATCATTCACGCCCCACAGCATGAAACACTTAGAAGGAGAAAAATCAAAGCGAAACTTGCATTAAAAATTTCATTTAGCTTCAGAAGCTGTTATTACGGCTAACTTCATTCATGAGCGACTAGTATGTCATACGCTAACTGTACCAATGATTATTGGCATTAACAACCCAAAAATGACTAGCTTTGTGGAAGCAGGAGCTATTCATTTCTGGTAAAGTTACTGCGATGGCCACGTTTAACATTGGCCGCGGTGCAGTGAAGCTGCTGCCGTGGAGGCCAAGCCGCAAGTTCCAGGCGCCGTCAATGATGGAGGACCCCGAGATGGAGTTGAAAGCCGCAAAGGCAGAGCGCGCAGCTCGCTTCAGGGCAACTACAGCGGAGCCGGTTCTCGCACCAGCAGCGGACTTGGCCGCGATTAAGAGAAAAAGGCAAGAAGAGGCTCGTGCCGCTGAAGAAAAGTAAGTTTTGTTTTCCGTATTTCACTTTTTAAAATCTCTATGTAATTTGGATATTAATAAATATAATTTGATTATTAATAAAAAACTTGGGTTCTTTTTAAAGGGCTCTGAAAGAAGAGGCAAAACGTGAACTAGAACGAAAGGCTCAGGTAAATTTATAAGCGTTCTTAATGATTTCTTGAAAGTAAAGATAACCTAAAAATAACAAAAATATATCATACAGGCAGAAAGAGAGGCTGCTGAAAAAAAGAGAGCGGAGGAAGAAGCACGGAAAGCCGAAGAAGCCAAACGCAAAGCTGAAGAAGATGCTAGAATAGCTGAGGAAGAAGCAAGAAAGGCGGAAGAAGCTAGAAAAGCCGCAGAGGAAGCCAAAAAAGCTGAAGAAGCCAGACAGGCAGAAGAAGCTAGATTAGCTGAAGAAGCTAGAAAAGCCGAAGAAGCAAGGCTGGCAGAGGAAGCTCGCCTTGCAGAAGAAGCCCGATTGGCTGAAGAAGCCAGACTTGCCGAGGAAGCCCGATTAGCTGAGGAGGCAAGACTCGCTGAAGAAGCCAGACTGGCTGAGGAAGCAAAACTGGCTGAAGAAGCTCGCTTAGCTGAAGAGGAACGACAAGCTGAACAGATAAGGCAAGAGGAACTGGCACGCTTAGAAGAATTGGAGAGACAGGCACAAGAGGAACGCGAAGCCGAATTAGCAAGACAGGTAAATCAGTGTGTAAATTAAATATTACAATTGATTTGCACGACAAGTGCAGGGAACAAATGGAACATATATCAATGTTTTATTTTAACAGGCTGCAGAATTAGCTGAAATCGCTAGGCAAGAATCTGAGTTGGCTGCACAGCGTCTGGAAGAATTATCACATAGCGCCTCTGGTGACAACGTTGCTGAGGTTGAAGCAAGGTAAAGCATACAATTGAATGAATTAAAAAGTCATATTTTAGTGAAGTCCTATAATGAAGGAGACCTGTTGAAAGAAATTAGTTAAATGTGTATTTTTTCTTAAATAACGGTATTTTTAACAGCGACATCCCTGAAGTGGAATCACAACCGATCGTAGAGGAGCCAGAGAGCCCGGAGATCATAGCTGACTCAGTACCGGAACAGACCGATGCGGTGGCGGAAATCAGTGAAGATGAACAAGCTGAGCCCGATGTAACGGACGAGGAATAAACCATGTGTCTAAATTAGTAATTTACTTAAAGCTGCGTAAGAATGGCATTGAACTTGTCCTGTGTGCTTGAAATATTTGTTTTAATTTCAAGAGAAACGAAATTATTAATAAAATAATAAATACCGAAATTTTTTTGTGTAATTAATACGATGTACATGTGAAAAAAAAATCAACTTATTATCCATTGTCAACATTACGAAAATTGTTTTGTCTTAAAATATCAATTTTAACCAAAATGATTAATTTTAATTATTAATATTGTAACAGTTTTGTATTCTGTTGTTATGTGTATGATTAGCATTCTTTTTGTGCGCATTTTCTTTTAGGGGTTTAAATACTTTTAAATTATTTTCTATGATGAAATTATTCTTGGCTCATGTATTACCTATATACCTGAGTCGTGTAATAATTACTGTTTGTTATTTACTCGTGAGTTGTACTTTCCTGTCAGTAATAAAATTACTAGACAGTGAGAGTAATGTTTAAATCGAGCCCTACTGTAATGTCGTTAACAAATAATTTCGTTTTATTTTGTAATGTTTTGTATCAAATGTTTATTAACAATAAAAGACATATTTAAATGCTGTAGTTTTTTTTTTTCATAGAATAAAGTATTTTTATTTTTTACTTTTGTAAAAGATTTTATAGTTTAACGATGCCTTCGAAATAAGTTCTAACAGTTGCAAATTATACTCATAACAAGGAATAAAGTTGTAAATAAGTCAGGCAGGAACTCATTTTATCTGTGTCCAATACTATAATTTTAGTATAATGTATGTATAATAAACAAAAAGTAAGCAGATAGACGCGGACAGATCCGCGAGCGAAAGCAAGTTAATTATATTTTGTATCTGTTACTTTTGTCTATGGTGCAAAATGACAATTTACCATAGATTAAAAATTATATTTCTGTTATGTTCCGTACGTATTATTTTTATAACCTAAAAATTATACCAAGATAAACATTGGTTATATAGGTTACTTTGTGTCATAGTTAAATATGGGGAAAAAAGATAAAAAGGCTCCAAAAGCAAACGTATTTAAGGTAGCAGGAGCAAAAAGCTTAAAGAAAACAAAAGCAAAAGCAGTGAATCTGGGCTTAAAAAATGTAAGTTAAATGTATTGAAGAATTGTTCATATTATTTTTGTATAAATATCAAAACGTAAATCTGTTAAATTTTGAACATGGAATTAAACGTGTTAATTTTTTAGATTAAACAAAAAATAGGCGAAATTGACAAACAGTTTCTTGATATCAAGAAAAATGAAAAATCAAATCAGACACAGCCAAAAAATAATGTAAAAGCAATACAAAAACAAACCGTGAAGAATGTAACTAAAGAAGAGGTTGCAAAAACTGCTGAAGATATTGTTAAAATGGATTTATAGGTTTAGGTTTAATATTTATTTTAAGATAAATTTTTATTCTGTTAATTACTTTTTATTATTCCTTTAACCCAGAAATCATATTTACTGAATATAAATGATTGTTAAATTACACAATACAGACTATATACGTGCATTATGAATAGGTAAAAGAAGGAAATAAAACTATTTTCAAACATAATTTTAAGATCACAGATGGAATGTTTATTATAGTCTAATTTTATAGAATAATCAGTACATTAACAAAGACATAGTGCACATTTTGTGTAAGAATGGCAACCAGCATCCACTCTGAAGTTATGTACTTTATAGTCGGTTAGCATTTTCAATGGCACATTTACTCTCTTATGTACATATGTTTTGTTTTCATAATTCCAATGTTAAAATATAGTCCAAAGATTAATACAATGTATTTGTTAATAAAATAAAAAACAATATTGAGTTATTTTTATATGTAGTGCTAAGAACTGTTATTTATAGATAAAATAATGTGCATACAAGACATAAGAACGCAAAATCCTTAATGTATAGTCAAAAATCTTATTTTAATCAAATTAAAATCTTAAACTAAATTAGGAAACATTAAAAATATACTAATTTCACTTTTTTTTTAAACAATATGGAGATCCATGACAATTGATAATCTTATGTAACATCTATGCTATTACATTTTTTTTAATATAATAAAGTTGCCAGATACATTTAAAAATAAATCAATCTTTATAATATTTTAATAAATCATACCTTTCTAGATATTCAAGTGCTTTTTGATCCCAGTTGTTGTTGTTTACTGTGCGAGGACTCGGGTGTGGGAGATAGAGTACCTTCAAATTTACAGTAACTTTAGTAAAATTAGCCTAATAACTAAAAGACAAGATGTTTACACCATTGTAGGTCTCATATTAAAAAGTGAATAGTCACTTTTTACAACACTTTTTGGTCACAATAGTGTGACCCATATCCTATTACAAATTTACATTTAGTGGTTTTTAAGGGTTTTTCAATAATGTTCTATTTCAAATACAGTACAACCTTGATAAGTTAAAGTCCAAGGGAATCACAAAATATTTTAAGTTATAGAGGTTTTAAGTTATCAAGGGTCTATGTTATAGAGGTTCTGGGCTCTGATAGGAAGGGAACATATTAATTTTTGAAGTTTTGGTGTTTTTATGTTATCAAGGTTTAAGTTATCAAGGTTTTACTGTAGACAATAAAAAGATTTTACTAATACCTTGATATTTTTAGCTTTAGATGGGAGATATTCTTCAATTGCTTTATGTGCTCGGGTTTCACAGAACTTACCAACTGCAATTATTGTTTGCACTTTATACAGTTCCAAAACTTTGATAAAGATCGGATCACAGATTTGATATAATGCTTTCATTTCTGTCACCTGAAAACAGACAGTGTTAGATATAGCTCTTTTATTTTTAGTAACAAAAATCATTAAACTAGATTATCTAAGTACTTTTTTAATTTAGCACACATATTACATTAAATACATATTCTATTCTATTCTATGCCTAGAAAGAAATGGATGGATTGTGTAAAAGGTGACATGATCAGAGTGACTGAGATAGTTATGTGGAGGACAAAAACATGTTGCGCCGACCCTATGGGAGTAGGATAAGGAGAAAGATGATTTTATTCTATCCTATTATAATAAAATAATTACTTTGAAATCACCAGGAGTGAGATTACATCCATTGGTCTTCATCCATTGTTGATTCAAATAGTTGTAGACGAAACTGGTTTCAAAAAACTTATCAGGACTGCCACATATATCTTTTAGTAAACCCCAGAATCTTTTCCCACTTATCTGTAATAAGGTTTTAATATAATAAGGTTTTATTTCTAAACCAATACTTTTTGACTGTTATAGCAATTGTGGTATTCATAACTTTTTTATTACTATTAAATTTTTGAAGTCATTTATTACATTTTTACCTCAGTCCTTGTACATTCAAAACCTTTGACAGGACGGGTTTCTAATTCCTTAGGTGGCTTTCCAACTGGCCCTTCTATACCCAACCAATCTCTTACAGAGCTCACATCTCCAAAAGGTACCTGTTAGAATTTTTAGACTATTTTACTTTACTACAGAGACAATGTTTTTTTTAATGTAACATGCATTTCTTTTATAGTTAGTGTCCTATGCAAGGGGTACAACTGTAATTTTACAATTGATGCTTATTTCTAATAAATGTTAGCTTAAAGCTAAAAATTATCTGGAAGTCTCCTAAGTAAGCAAATAAATAAATACTAGTTTATTTCACTTACACCAGTTTGCGACATTCCGAAAGGTCCTGGGTTCATTCCAAAATACATTATAGCTTTGTTTGTATTACAATACTTTCGAACGTACATTTCAAAAGTGTGTCTTGCGTATATTGTTGGATTATAAATGCATTTTATAGCCGGTGGGAATTGAAATGTTGTAAGTTTATTATTCAGTTCATCGATCAAGTTTAAGAATTGAACACTTATATCTTCCTCTTGTTTGTTGTCATTTTCCAAAGCTAAAGGTTTTTCGCAAAAGAATGTTGATACAACTTCTGTGGTCATATTAGCGTATTTTTACTACAATTAATTAAAAAAAAAACACAAACTCAGCGAGTCTTATACAGAGTTCAAAGTATTTGGATCGTAAACTTTACTAATTATCCGCGCCGTTTTAAAAACGTTATTATAAATATTACTTATGATGATAAAATAAACAGGATTTCTATTCATGTAATCGGTGCTTGCATATATGTCTTAAAATCTATAAAAACATACATTTACAAAACACAAGTGATTATTTGGTGTTTATTTTGAATTTGAAATATCACGACACGACAGAGGCGAAAAGGAATGCGATAAGCAGTGTTAAGCTCGTTATTTTTCGTTTTTGAGCTCACTTATTTTAAAGGTTTACCTAATATCTTTTTATTAATCAGATTAATATACTGTGGCTTTTTGTTTAATAAATAATTTAAGTTTTTACAATTAATTCCGAAATCTTAGTGCAGCCTCTACAGGCTTCTACGATAAACAACTTGTTACAGTATCCGATCGTAAATGTCAAACTTCAAGGCCACTTCAGATTCGTGAAAAGCGTTTAACATTTTTAGAATAATTCAGGTTTTAAAATTAAATTAACAATAACAAAAGAAGGCATTAATTATTTTTTCATATAACATTGTATAGACAGATAGTGCTGAGTGAAAGTATATAATAAAAACACTTTACGATATTATACAAAATAAACTTAAGTAGTTGTAAGATTTATTATAACATAAGATTTATATTAAACCGTTGTAGTAAACGCCGCCAAAATTGCTTTCTACTCGAAATATAACGGAAATATTCCCGCCATGGCAAAGGTAAGTTTATAACAACTTGTTTTTATTCATATTTACATACCGGTTTTCTAGAATGCTAGCTACAAGTTGTCGGCCATAGTAATATATCTGATCTCGTGTCTTAAGGCAGCAGTATCCTACAGCATTATAATTCTGTTTTACGTAAATATAATTATAAAGTTAACGCAATGAATGAAGGAGAAATAAAACAAAAGGTACTATTTTTGTGATATTTGAAGATTATATACCAAAGTAAATTAGTAAATGATTTAATATTGCAGCTAGTTGAACCAGTTATGATTTATATAAGGTTTCTAGGCGTTTCCATTATTGTTTGCAAAATTAATTTGGTTTTATTCTTTATGGTATTAAATAAAATGTACTTTTTGATTTTTCTTTATTAGTTCTTTTCATGATTTGTATCTCCCTTGTATTTGACTCCTCTCTGAATTAGTGTTAAAAAAATATAAAACATAAAATACTTAAACAATAGCACATTAAACCTGGCTGCTAAGTCAAGTGTTGTCATATATTTTAAATTAAAATATTTTTCTTTAACATTCTAAAACTTCTTCTTTGCTTTTTCCAGCCAGTATTATACTCATACTGGCGGAGTTCATGCTCATGGCGAGTAAGAATTGCCCTCAATTTAAAGGAGATTCCATATGACATTAAAGCTGTTAGCCTCATAAAAGGTGGTGGGGAGCAACACTGCAATGAATATAGGGAAGTCAATCCAATGGAGCAAGTACCATCGCTATCTATTGGTATGTTGTATTCTTTTTATAGTACAGTAGAACCTCGGTAAGTTAAAGTCAAAATATTTTAAGTTATCAAGGGTCTATGTTGTAGAGGTCTTGGGCTCCGATGGGAAGGGAACATATTTATATTTACCTAGATCAATAATTTCAATCTTCAATTGTATTTTAAAAAGTGTAAAGTTTTATTTTAATTTCATGCTGATGAAGTTGTGACCATAAGCCAATGTATAAGTTCTTATGTAATTTTTATGTAATATTAATTATAACTATATACAATTATTATTTTAGATGGCCACACAATAATAGAATCATTGAGTATAATGCATTATTTGGAAGAAACTAGACCACAAAGGCCACTGATGCCTCAAGATTGTTACAAGAGAGCCAAAGTTAGAGAAATATGTGAAGTAAGTAAAATATTACAGTAAAACTAACCACAGAATGCAATAAGCACTGTAAATATAATGTTCGTAAGATACACGATTGAAATTGTGGTAAGAAACCCGTATCTTCAATGTTCCGTTCAACAAACATTATATTTGTAAAAACCACGACAGTTTAAGTTATATAAGCATTGTAAAACCATAATTTTTTATATGAAAGTAAACTTGAGGGGAGTCAGTGGCATTGACAATGTTAATCTATGGACAGGGATGGTAAATGGCATGCCATACAATATTTTGTGGTTATTGTTCACCAAATTCAAATCACCACAAAGCTATGTATAGGGAGTGGATGCTTGTGTTACTTTCATTATGAACTGTTTCCAATAATCACAAAAAAAAAATATTTTGTCAGTGTGTCTATGGCCGCATTTTATTTTATTTTATTAACGAAACAGCATAGTAAATTAAATATGTAATTTTGTTATTTCAGGTTATATCATCAGGTATACAGCCTCTACAAAATCTAATAGTCCTGATACATGTGGGAGAAGAGAAGAAGAAGGAGTGGGCGCAACACTGGATCATGCGAGGGTTTAGAGCTGTGGAGAAACTACTGTCTGCTTCTGCTGGGAAGTATTGCGTGGGAGATGAGATCACATTAGCCGACTGCTGTCTGGTCCCACAAGTGTTCAATGCAAGAAGGTAACACATACAAATTTAGTATACCAATATAATGCAGTGGACATACAAATGTTGCAATAATGTGGCCTTGTCCACAATCCTCTTAAAAATTTCATTGTAATCTAAAGAGAGAATCACAAAATGTATACCATATAAATAATTATAGTTGCTAATCGGCTGGCGACACATATACTTAATAATAGTGGTTTAAAGCAGCATTGTGGCTGCTGGAGGCATAGAGGTAAAAGACCCAGAAAACATAAATTACTTACTAGCTGTTGCACGCGACTTCGTCCATGTGAAATTAAAAAATGTAGCCTATGTTACTCACAGATAAATTGCCGTTTCTAATGGTGAAAGAATTTTAAAAAAGTTTTGAGTTATTTAAAAACATACAAAAATACAAATCTTTCCTCTTTATAATATTAGTATAGATTAATTTGTAAATGCATTATTATTTTTCTGGTAAGATAATTCTTGTTAAGTGAATTTGAACTCCAGGCGGAAAAAAATGCTATAAAATAACTGATTTTTTAAGTTGGTGTTAGACAAAACAAGTTAAGGAACCGTTGATAGTAATGGTTAACTAAATTTTTCAGATTCCATGTAGACTTACGTCCGTTCCCAATAATACTGCGCGTTGATAGAGAACTGGAGAATCACCCGGCGTTCCGCGCCGCGCACCCCTCCGCGCAGCCCGACTGCCCGCCGGAGGTCGCCAAGTGAACAATCTGCAGTCAAAGGATGCAGGTGGTTAACTGGTTACCCAGTACTATATCAGGTATTAACTTTAACATCTCATTTAAATATTAAAAAATCTATTACATTTTGATCTATTTTTTTTTACATGTAAAAGTGCTTCCAGAAATGATGTAATATGAATTTACAAATAACTTCCAATAGATTGCAATGTCAAATATTAACCAATTAATTAATTTTGTATATTATTTTTTATTGTAATAAATTTTAATTTTACCATGAGTAACCTCTATACATTGTCATGAAAGATATTTTATATTATTTTAAATTTACATTAGTCATCAACTGTTTACTTACCAAAATTATGTGAAACTTCCACAATATTCACTACTAATATTTCTACAATACTCAACGAAAATATCAAAGCTTTAGTAAAACTTGAGATATATTTTTGAGATTTTCAGTTTTGGTTATACTAATTTTTAAGTCATACTATCCCTTGGATATATTTTTTGGACATTATTTGTCTCTTATGTTATAATTTGATCTAGTCTTAATGTCGTAGTTATAAGGTAGGTGATTTTTACAAGGTTTTTGGGTTACAGGTAAGCATTTTTACTTGTTTAGGGGTTTTAAGTACGTTTTTTTTGTGCCATTCCATTAGCTGTATGAACATTTATACAGTAGTGATAATTTTTATTATGTTAAACATAAATCTATTATACATTTTTATATTTTATGTTTGGAAATACAAATTTCTTGATTAAATTGTTGTTTAATTTAACCCATAATTAGTCTTATTTTATTCCTCTTATATAGTTATTACAACTAGAAAACTAAGGACATTTTTACGAATAAATTTTATTTCTTATAAGTCGACGTTACCAGTTAATTATTCAACATCTATACTAATATTATGAAGAGGAAAGATTTGTATTTTGTATGTATTGAAATAACTCAAAAACTACTGGGCAGATTTTGAAAATTCACCATCAGAAAGGTAATTTATCTGTGAGAAACAGGCTATATTTTATTATTACTAACGTTTAAGAGCTATTAATAAACAGCGTGCTTCTGGACGCCGGCGTTAAAAATTCACTAAACTTTAACTTTTCTCGGCTTACGCTGCTTAAACCGTTAGAGGTATATAAAAATGATATATGAAAGAATTGTAGATCTCGAAAAGTTCTACAGAAAAGTCTGCGATAGCATATATCTTTCTTTAACGGTTTTCTTACAATAACCACTTTTTGTTTATAAAATAAATTAAAAACCACACGCTATTAGCGGCGTTCTTTTATTGGTTTCAATATTAATCCTTATCCAAATAAATGCTTTTGAATTTAATGTAGAAGAAAATTGTCCTTTTACTTATACAGTAATTAAATTGGACTAATAGTTTAGAATATATCGCGAATACAAACAATAAGGGTAACCGAAAAATTAGCTTACAAGCTACCAGGCTTAGAAATTTGGAATCTTGCATCGGTAGATTTCTGTTTCTACGTAGACTACTAAGTTAATACTTTTGGTAATAGGTTGAAAAAAGAGCGAACGTAAGTTTTGAGCTTTAAATTTCACGCGGACGAAGTCGCGTGCAAAAGCTAGTTAGTTATAATTTCATATTAATATAAGGATGTGTTAGTTCTAAACCAATCCAAAAGATCATCTCGCATAACTTCGAATCGTTGAACTACTGCTCAACAACTTATTTCAAAGCTCACTGCTGTGCGCTCCAGTTCACTGATCTGCTTCTTCCGGCGAACTGTGAACTGATCTGCAGCTCAATTTAGTTACTTACCCATGGTCATACTAAACTAATAAATTGTTGATGCATTGTCCTCGGCTCATGTATATTATATCCCAATGGACTTTTATAAACCACTGATAAAGTACTACTAATTTAATTAATTGATATTCCTATGGCAAGAAAAACAAAATCTTATATAATTCGTTTAGACGACTAATTGATTCCCTAGTTTTTAGAACCGCTTAAAAAATAAGGGCCTAAGTAACTTCATTTCTGTGGGTTTAACGAAGTAATTTCATAATTTTTGGAATTTAATTGGACTAAATATGTTTTTAGTTATCTGTAAATACTACCAAATTATATTTTGAATACTCTTTACCAGTCTTTAGGTTAGAAACTATAATCCGGGGCGTGGCAACACTTACATGTCAAGTGTCAAATGTATCGAACGAACGCCCTGTGCCGTGCTGTTTATTCGTAGCGGATATTCTGAGTCCGATTCGAATGTGTGCTGTGTATTAGTGCATATATCTGCCGGTTCGATTTGTTCTCGTACAGCGGTATTTCTGATATGATTCTAGTGTTATGTTTAGTGATTAAATAACAATGGCAGTTAAAACCGTCAGTTAAGTGCTGTGAAAGTTGTACCTGATTGTTCAGTGTCGATTTAAAATGACGGAGAAAAATAAATCCGAAAAGATGACGAATGCATCGAAACCTGTTCCCATGAAACTTTTTGCCGCCTGGGAAGTGGACAGGACGCCATCCAACTGTATACCAAGGTAACTTTTGTTATTGTACACTCTTGAACCGGAATTATTTTGGTTGCTTTAGTCGTGCACGATCTCATAAATGTAATCAGTCCAGGCTTCTATTACTTGAGAAGTATCGTTTACTTTTAAGACTTGTCTGATATCTAATCAAATAATGTTTAAATCGTCTTAAAAAGACTGACAACCGCACTACCGGCGTTTCACGGTGGCTTATTTATTATCAAGCACAGAGATTTATTTTGTTTAAAACTTGAGTTTTGAAATACAACATTTTGATGTTATTTATTTAACTTATTAGATATCCAAATGTTTAATAGATTTAATTCTTATTTGAATCTGTAATAAATATTGTAATTAATATTTTCAGCTGTGACTTATATGCACATATAATAATATTATTTTACCAAATACATCATTATGTAATCTTCCTTAATTATCCTAATACTCATTGTTAAGAAAATCTAATTTTAATTGTTTATTTAAAACTTCATAAACAACAAACAAATATTAGAAACAATAAGTCTAGTCAATAAGTTTTATCCAAACATCAAACTATAAATATTTTGGTATCCAAATAACATAAGTTCCTAATTAGTTAATTAGTTGTTTAAATGTTATTTACATTTTTCACTTAACTTTGAAAAAACTGCTAATGGCTTGTTAAAATAACATCAACTCTGGTCAACAACATCATCATCAGCTTTTATCTTGCTCACTGCTGGATATAGATCTTTGGTTAACAGAATTTTGTAAATTATTAAATATATATTAAATATAAATAAAATATATACTAATTAATTAAACATAGGTCAGGACTTTTTCAAAACCTTTCCAAAGAAATAAGAAAATGTCACAGGACAAACAAAATGCAAATTTTTCACACCTCTATGCACCTAATATCATAATTCGAAAAATATTTTTATTAGAAACATCATTTATTAGATTCATATATAACTTGGTAACAGAAGCAGTAGAAATTATTTTCTTTACTAATCTAATTAAGAAGAATTACTTGTATTTTTGTATGTATCGAAATAACTCAAAAATTACTGGATGGAATAAAATCTTGCACCATTTAAAAGCAATTATTACTGAGTAACACTTTTTTATATTCCATGCGGACATAATTGTGAGCTAAAACTAGTGTTCTATATGTATGTAACATTAAGTAGGTTTAATATTAGAGTGACCTTTTTAAAAACTAACAAACTATAGATTTACATCACACAAGTAAAACAAAAGTTTTTAATGACTAGTTGGAACACGGCATACTTGTAGTTTTTGTCTTTTACCGTCTATGGTTATGAAAACAAAAGACTGTTGACTCTACAAGTGACCTGGAAACTAGACTCGTCTTTTATACTGATCTAGTTATCAATGTTCAACAGAACATTACTACTGTAAAATTACGAATAATATATTATTAGCAGAAAATATGTATTTTTTAAAAAATTAACTCAAAATGTATAAACTGCAATTTCAGTCTGTTTAGCTCGACCTAAGTAATGAAAATCTATGATTCTAATTTTGAAAAGACTTATGCAATATAATTTCATTTAGGTTAAGAAACGAATTCTCATATCTACAGCTTATTTCTTTACGTTGAACATGAACAAATTACAATACCATAAATTTATAAAAATACAATATACAGCGCAAATTCCGTTATTAAAATAGAAATTGTACTTACTCGTATCCTGAGTACAATACGCCCATACGATGACATCAAAGGACGGGAAATGCCGCGTTAACTACGCCCATGTCACACGCAATTTGTGTATAATTTACAGGGAATTCTGAGATTGGTCTATTATTTAGGAAATGTTAATTGATATATAGTTCACAAGATGGAAATTGGGCAATTTGGAAGTTCATGTCTGTATTTAAGTGCTAATTATTTTCGGTTTCATTGTTCAAGAGAAAAAAGGACGCAATTTATTGAAGTTTCTTTTTGCTGAGAATGTAGTTTTGTTAGAATGAAAAACGCGAGATTCATGAAAGTCCTAAGTAAAGTTAAGGAAGGACTATTCCAGTCTATTTTATTTAGCTTATTATGTGTCCATAATCATTTAAAGTAAATCCATAAGTCAGGCTATCAAAGAATTACAAAATGATTCAATTCTTGTTACCAGGTATTATCCATTGTTCATTGGAATTTACTTCTCATCGTAAATAACTTCGGTCGCTGTCGCACTTGTGTTTGCACTCGTATTTGCTTGCGCCGCTTACGTGATTTATGTCAACGCAATGAAACAGATAACTGGCTGTAACGGTTATCGTGCTTCCATTCATTGAATGTCACACTGTTTTATAACTTTGTATTGTCTATACAATCATATTTTATTACATATGTATAGTGATATTGTTGTTTATTGTTAGATTATTTATTCAAAGGTACACCAATTGCATGTTCAAAATACACATCCAAATAAATATACTGTAAACAAAGAAAAAAAAAACAGCAGAACAAACAGATGATAGGCGTACGCAACGATCAGGAGAAAAGATTTTTTTTAAATAACATTTACTCCATATTAAAAAGTAATACTATTCGTAAATCTTACTAATATTATAAATGCGACAGCTTAGATGGATGGATGTTTGTTAGAGTTTGTAGCCTAAACGGTTGAACGGATCTCGATGAAATTTGGCATAGACGTAGAGGAAGAACACATAGGCTACTAACTGTTGTTTTTTTTTTAATCCTTGTGAACTGAGTCGCGGGCTAAAGCTAGTATGTAAAAAAATGTAGTTTTATTGAAATATAAAATACGCATCCTTAGACGTAGAGTCAATAACGGCTTTATCCGTTTTTGTAATCGACTTCCCAAAAAAAGGAGGTTATCAATTCGTCTGTTACATTTCTTTTGTTTTAAAAATCATTTCATCTTGCGGCATTGTATATTTCTTGTGTCATTATTTATCAAATAAGGTTTTGTATACGATAGAAGTATCAGAAAAGTCAAATGTGATCGCATCTTTAGGCTAAGAGGACCGAGATTCGGGCCGTGGGTGTCCGCAGGATGTCCCCGATTAGCGAATTGTCACTGTTTGGTGTCGCGTTTAACGCGGGGACAGCGCGGAATTATTCAATTGAATTTATACGTGCTAAATATATAGAGATCTGACCATTCACACTTGACCAAAATATGTTGAACACACCTATTGTAAACATAACTTTGATTGGACTAGGTTATAGGATGTAATTTGAAATGGTAATAAAACTCAAAATATAACATCTCGATACGTATCTGTTAAACATTTTTATAAAGCTAATGCTACAGTATGTCAGCCTTAAAAGCATGAGGTTTTGTTTTCTCGTACGACTACAACCGGTGATATCTATGTCGTATATTGTTCTCGTTCCAGATCTTGTAGCACTAATCTAGATTACAAACTTACAGCGAAATTGTATCAACAACATTCAGATTGTGAGTTGCGTGTTTTTTTGTTATTTCTGCCTTGAAAAGCTAATGTTTTAAAAAAATGTGTTGGTCAAAGGCTAATAACAAACACTATATTAAGCGGATGTCATACCAATTACCTGTAACTCCTGTCCTGCTAAAGTATGGCTTAAATACTCTAAAAACACTAATTAACATTATAAACAAAGTCTTTTCTGTCTTTTATGGTGTAATCACAATATATTTGCATTCAAAATACCTTAATCGACTTTAATTATATCAAAATGATAACATAGTCACGTATATTGTTTTTTGGCTCTCCAATTAAATGTTGAAAGGGTTCTCGTCGCAACAAAGGCCGTACGAATAGAAACCGCACGTATGATTCATACACCAGTTATGCAAATGCGGTAACACCATAGATACAGATACTCCTCTGCTCTTCGTTGTAGAATGGTACAAAGTATAAGCGGAAAGCGTTTTTGCAATATCAATGATTATCTGTAAACGGCGAAGACGTCTTGTGACTGGTTAACTGTCGATTAAATTTACGGTTGCCATGGTAACGGCTAGTTAATAAATATTAATTGCAAACATCTATACTATTATTATATAGAGATCCGATTTGTGTTTTTGTATGCAACATATAAACACATAAACAAGGAATAGATAGATAACGTAAAAACATTAAAACTACTGTACCGATTAAAAAATATTTATCTTTGATAAGCTACAATATCACTGAGTGAAAAGATATATTTATTACTAGATTTTTTTTAATTCGCGCAGATGAAGTCGCGAGCAAAAGTAAATGAGTAATGATTGTTTTAATTCCCTATACGACCTACGTTAATAAAATTATAATTAGTCCTATTAAAAGACAAGAAGGTTAGTTTAATCTCTTTATAATTAGAACCGCTGTATAATGTCTTAATAAGGTATTAGTAAACAACGGCTCTATCGACCTGTAAGCCGGTAATTATTACTAGTTGATGTAACGACTCGCTATTATTAAAGGTCAATGTACTGGAGGACAGTTATATCTTATTAGCTTCAATAAACGGTCTAGTTTTTTCTCAATTAATAATGTATTTTATTCACTGGTAAACCTTTTTAACACAATAACGAGTATATCTTCATAGAAGTTCTTTAGTTTTTTTTATAACATAAGGTGGCAAACGAGCAAGCGGCCACCTGAATCCGCCAAAGTAGCAAAGCGACCGCTGCCCATAGACATTCGCAATTGCAGAAGCGTTGCCTACCCCTATCCGCCGGAGGAGGAGACTCACATCATCTTCAGACGATACACGGAATTGCTTCCATTTCACGCCTGTCTTCTATATGGTCGTGGCACCGGTGTAACACCGGGCGTAGTTAAAAGCTAGAAATCCTTCCAACTTACTTTAAATCTTTTCCTTGACAAAATAAGAAATTTATTGATTTATCGCGAAGATGCTAGACGCTTTAGCTTGTTTTGTACAGCTTAGTCTAAGCAATGAAGGAGAAAACAAGCCGAGCTAAATAAGGAAATAGTGACATCACATCTCTTTTAAGTTGTACCACAGGCGCCATCTGTGTTTCGTATCACAGGTTTACAGACGGGAT